CACACACACACACACACACACACACACACACCCTGAGGTTGTATCATCCTCACACTTGAGTATCACAATTTTAGGCCATTGATAAAAAATTCAAAAAATAAAAATGTGCCCCCAGATTGTGCCTAAAGAAAATGTTGTGGACGGCTTAGACCACTAGAGGTCGATCTCGAGCTGCGTTACTTTGCCACAGGCCTGTGAAACCAGATCCAGATCCAGATCCAGATCCAGATCCAGAATCTAATTTCACAGCCAGTTCAAACCAAAGACAGAGAATTTCAAACTGGCTTCCATTTTTATACTAAACCAATTTGTGCTTTGACCATTTTCTTTATTGCGTAACTGTGTCTGTTCAATATGAATCCTCTCCTCATAGTTTTGCTTTGGGATTTTCTGTGATTTTCTTTTTTAGCTGTATATGAGTAGTTGTGTAGTTGCAGTACTTTGTATCTCGACGTCGTTTATCAAATTCAATCAATTATTTTTTGCCTAAATTTGATTTGGTAATCTCTGTATTCACTGTTTTCCTCTTGAATTGAAATTTTTGAAAACACAACATTGGATTAAAAAAAACCAAATAAAAAAATGAATTGAATAAATAAATAAATAGTCAGTATTTAAGTGTGTATTGTATCTTGTATTATAACGAGGAGGAGTGACAAGAGGAATAAATGACATCGTCATCAAAGTTTCAAAATTTCAAACCAGAAATAAAACGTTTGACCCTTTTCTGATTTCTCCTCCGCACGTCTGTGGATTCAGTGGTTTTCTAAAATGTTAGTGATGATGAAGACCTCAGTCCTTCCTGCTACTTTTATATTTAGAAATGTTTGTGTAGTGATGATGGGGGAAGAGATCAGATGAGCTTTGTCTCTGTGTCACTCACACACTTTCACTTTCGGGGTTCAAACACCCGAAGAAGAAAACCAGAGTCACTCGGAGATCTGGTCCTGTGTATGAGGGGCGATTAATGCCACTGAGGAGGAGGAGGAGGAGGAAGAGTCATCGGCAACAAAGCACAAGGAGACTAATCCCAAACTTTTCATTTTGAGCGAGACGACACTTCTATGTCCAAAACATTATTACATCATTCTCCTGTGACAAGGCAACGCTGCGTCTCTGCTGCTGCGATGATTGGCTCACGTTGAAGGAGGCGGAGTCGATTACTTTTAAAAATATTTAAAAAATACAACGTGAACACGTAATAGCACGATTTGTAAAAATGTCGAGGAGTAAGAAGTACAGAGAGGACTGATGTCGTTAAGGTGCTGTAACTTTGATTATTATAAATAATTATTGGGTGATCGTATTATTTCCCTCCTGCCTGTAACTTTATTTTGAAATCACTGCAGTTTGTTTTAACAGATGAATTCATTCATCAGTTTTCTCAGAGAGACTCTTTCTCATTTCATTTTATTTAAGGTTATTAACACACTTCAATGACGTTCTTCCTGCGTTAATCGCCCCTCGTATCGAGGGCCCCTCTGCAGGGGCCTCCTCTCGCCTCGCTATACCCCCCCCCCCACCCAATTTCATGACGGACCCTCGGCGTGAACGAGCGCCGCAGCCTTTTCCCAGGAACGAGAAGACAGGTGGACAGCTGTTTACTCAATAGGAGCTCACACTGAAGAGCTTAATTGAGCTTCATCAGGCCAATTAAAATGCAGAGAGAAATAATCATGATTATGGTAATTGTTCTATTGTCTAACACGTCTTCTGGGGATGTGCCTGTTTGGCATCATACCTGCAAAATGTGAAAGACAATGAAGAGTAAAAAAAATAATTTTACACCGGATGGAATCTTCATGTTGGTCGTTTTAATTTCTGTTGTTAAAATCGATTCTGCAGCGACCGGAAATAATAACATGTGATTGAATCATGTGGAACAAATCTGAATAACAGAAATAAATAAAAACACTCATTTCTATAATTCATGTGAGGAGGTGTGGTGAGAAATCCTCTCACAGGTTATTAATTATTATTTCAAACCTGTTGAAGTGTTTCAGTCAGGATCAACATCAACTTTTATTTTTAAAATTTAACCTTCAGCTTCATGTCAAGCAAAGAAAATGGTCAAAGATGTGAAAGCTGACCCGTGAAATAAAAACATTGAAGTCATTTACCTGATTCATTTATTACTGTTACGTCTCCAACAGAGAGAAGAGGCAAACAGACGCAGACTGACCCCAGATCTGAGACGTCATGACAGTCTCGTGTAATTACACTGTAAATGTACATGATTTAAATATGTAATAACATAACACGTTTGACCCGATCACTCCTCCTCTCTACATGTGGCTCTTGAGCAAGGCACGGCATGGGAATGGTGCTGATCAGCGCCTCGGGCTACGCAGGGCTGTTCTGAGCAGCTGCACCCCCCCCCTGCAGCTCAGCCTCCAGCATGTGATTGTTGTCCTTTGACGCAGCTCTGGAGGTGAACATAATGGGTTAATAGGCTCCCCCAGGATCCCCGGGTCCCCCTGGGAGCCCTCAGCCCGCTCGCAGTCCGCTCGCAGCCCTGCTGAGGCCGCAGTGCGCCGAGGCTGAAGTCGTCTGACAGGACGCAGATAAGGTTGACGCTCAGTTACGCAGAAATGTCATCACTGGATGTGGGAGTAACGTCATTGTGATCTACCAAAGTAAAAGCTCTTATGGCCCATAGAGGAGAAACAAAGCTCGATCGAATGGAAACAGAGTTTTAAAAAAAAGTAAAAAGTTCTGTGGTTTCTGAACTTTCTGAACTTGTGAGTTATTGGATGTTGTAGCTTCTCTGTTTCCCTCCAGACGCCACAGAAGTGAAAATCCCTTGATTGCATAATTATTCAACGTGCTTTGGTTTTCTGAGTCCTCAGCACTCGGAGCATAAATATCAACATTTTGCTGGTGCATCTGGAAGTGCACACTCATCAGAGTTGATTTAACACTCGTTATAGTTTCGAGCAGTCGCCCCAACTCTCCAATCAACACTCGAGTCACCGTCATCACTGGAGAACATGGGAGAAATGTTCAAGATGCTCAGGAAGCAGCAGCGACCAGGAAACAAACTGGAACAACTGGAAGAGGCGTGTGCTGCCTGAGGGGTTGTGAGGAGGAGGAGCTATGTTTGGTTCCAGGTCAAGAAGTTTCCTGGTCCAAAACGAGGACGTGAGGATTTCCCTCCAGGTGCAGCTCAGAGTTGGGTTTGAGAAATTCTGAATTTAAACATCAACTGATGATAAACTTTCGTTCCTCTCCGAAACCTCTTTTTCTGAAATATTTGCAAAAAAGCGACATTTTCTCGGGTGGGGTGAGAGGGGAGAGAGGGGAGAGAGGGGTGAGAGGGGAGAGAGGGGTGGGGCTGGTCGCTCACTAAACGCAGGAAGTGGTTCAGCTGGAGAGGCCGCTTCAGCCACTTGACTGAGGGGAAATCGCCGTCACTGCTCCACGAGTGCTTGGAAGTGCCGCACTTGAATTTCCTCCCGTGTGAATGACAAATCAACAGAAGTGGTGGCGCTGTTCATTTTGGGGGGGGGGGGGGGGCTGTGACTGTTCACAACCTCTCTTCATGTCGAACATGACACATGTATGACGACAGGTTGGAGGAAGCTGCGGTGGCGCAACAAAGCACGACAGCAAATCCCGAGTCGATGCACGTATCTGCTTCTTGTGTGTTCGTGTTCTTCCAGTTTCACGTGCGTCACGTGTTAGAAACCTCATCAACACGTCCACATCTGACATCGACTCCGGAGGCCGACAGTGAAAGTTCTGGACTTGAAACAGTTTTCTATCATTTCTGGAGTGAAAGTGATGATACTGATGTCGTGAAAGTTATTGTTCAGTTCACATGTCGAGCGATTTAAAGACTTTATTCAACTCGTGAACTGATCAAAGAAGTTGAGAAGTTTGATGAACCACCAGATTTCCGACACATTAAAAAGATTCATTCAGAAGTTCACTTCAGTCTTTAGGCCTCTGATCCCTCGTACTTCAGGTAATTATATCATGGACGTCCCGCTCTGTAGTTCACACTTCTCTGAACCGTAGACGACCAAGCAAACCCACATTTCAAACCCTTGGACAGAAGAGAAATAAAAAGCTTTAGCGGTTAAGAAGATCTGAAGGAATCACATTCATGGACGGGCTGAATGACCATTGTGGACGGGGGGGGGGGGGGGGGGGGCAGAGTGGCACAGCCTTTAATCCCGGAGCTCCTGCGAGGTCCCCTGGCTCCGCACCCCGGGCGCTAACAAGCCCCCCCCCCCACAAGAGGAAAAACCAACAAAGGCAGTTATTACACACTCCTTATGAAAGACACCCGGGGTGAGGGGGGGCAAGCTGGACACCGCTGGGACAAAAGAGCACTGACTGACCCCCCCCCCACGCACCAGCCCGCCCCGTCCTCCCACTCCTTCAAATCAGCCACTTCCACCGCACGCAGGCCGATAGTGGAGCTGCGTGACACGGGGGTTGGGGGGAGGTCGGGGGAGGTCGGGGGAGGTCGGGGGAGGTCGGGGGAGGTCGGGGGCTTCGTGGCCTGTTAATTGAGTGAAGCCATTGAGGAGGCATGTTGCTCAGCAGGACCTCACCGGGGGCAGAGTCAGCGCCGTGAGTGAGGGGAGGCGGCTAGAAGTCACGCTAGGCTGGCGGGGAGAGGGAGAGAGAGAGATGAAGGGATGAAGGGATGAAGGGATGGATTCCGCCGAGGTCCCGACAAAGACACGTAAACCCCGAGCACGTCACGTTGATCCTCAGTGTCCAGAGAACATCACGAGGTTTGACTGTGAATCTCTGACGCTCTTCTTTCACTGAACGTTCTTCAGCCTCTCGACTCATCACAGAAACCACGAGGAACGTTTTCACCATCCATCTATCCATCTATCCATCTATCCATCCAT